GGCCTCCAACCTACTAGAGATGGCTCCAACCCAATAGGGATGGCCCCAACCTAATAGGGATGGCCTCCAACCTACTAGAAATGGCATTCAACGAACTGATTCACTGTGCTGACACGGTCTGTGCCCTCCCGGTCGCCTTATCACCGCCCCCCCGTCCCATGAATCCCCACCTGCAGCGGGCGCCGGATGCACGAAGACCGAGAAAGTGACATCAGTCCTGGGTGGTGCCCGGAGGAAGAATTCCGTTGGGTTAGCTTTTTGTTGCTAGTAAGGGACTTGTTACTAATAGCTTCTTGTTACTACTAGTAAGGCACTTGTTACTAGTAGCGATGCACTTGTTACTAATAGCTTTTTGTTACTAGTAAGGGACTTGTTACTAGAAAGCGAGGCACTTTGTTCCTAGTAGACTAAACGAGTTGGGAACAGGTGATGAATCTACAGCTGAGATCTTTTGAGCCTCTCTGAGGGCCGTACGGCCCGCCCCTCCCGCGTCGTCTGGCGGGAGCAGCCTCATCCATGAAGTCTTCTTCCTGCAAGAAAACTTGTGCAAACCACAGGAAAGGCACGTGGCCTCGAAAAGGAATGAAAGGCTCTTCACAACCTCATCTTGCTGCTTGCTGCTTGAAATGGTGGCTTTTTCCTCCAGTCCTCTATGGGCTCCATTGCTAAAGAGCAACAGTCGCTCCGTTGCTCGAAAATAAAAAAACTAAGCCAATCACGCTGCCGTGGGTAGTCCAGAACGCATGCAGGACACAGGACACAGTCAACACACACAGTCAGGTGTCCACCGGACCTATCAAGAGAGTCATTTCAGAAAGTGCATTGGAAGTGTTCCAAGTTGCTGCTCAAACTTGGGAGAACATAATTGGTAAACCATATGTTGTTTCTTTGTCCTTCCTTCACTTCTATAGCAGTCTGCTTACAAAACCGTCTGGCTACGTCCTCGCACACATCGTCAAGAACACTGGTGGTCTTTTGGTCTTTTGCAGTCGCCTTTTGGTCTCTTGGAAAACACTCGTCTTCGGTCACTTGGGCAGTCCGCCGGACGAGGTGAGGAGGCAAGTCCCGGTCCTTTCGTTTTGATCTTTGACTTCCCATGTTGGCTGGTAACATCGGGTGTTCCCTTCTTTTTCTTGACACATGCGAGGTTCTGGCTCACGTCACGGGCTGCCTTGCGAACGGGCTGCCTTGCGAACTGCCAGTGAAATCCAAGCTTCAAATTGGAACCATCGCGGTCGAGCGCGCACAGCGCTGGGCGCTGATCTGCGTACGCACGTTTGGTCGAAAATAGGGCTGCAACACTGGCCAACCGTGGCTGGTGGGGCAGCTTCACAGTTCATGAGCGAATGTTGAGGCACTTGTTTAACAGGATTTATGCCAGCCTCCATGAACCACTATGGGACTGTTTACTCCACAATTGGAGAAAGCGCGTTCTCGATACTTCTCGCTACGCGACTTGCTAAAAAGTTTGGGTGTTCTCTTCGTTCACCCCAAAAAGCAGTGGAGTCCCCCATGTGTTCAAATCCTGCCAGCGCGTAATCCTGCCAGCTCGTAATCTCGAGCCTGGTTGGCGGACGGGGTGCGCGGGGTCAAAAACTCAGAGAGCCCATAGGAACTGAAAACAACCAAACACGTCTAAGACATTCTAAGACATTCCAAACACGTCTGCCGAATCCACTCAACATCCCACACATGTGGACATGTTGTTGTCCTTACCACCTGCCTGTTGGAGGGTGCTGGTAGTTGTTTTTTCTCGCACTGGCCGCTTGATTCGTCTTAGGTCTTTTTTGCGAGCTTTGTTTTGGGGTTCAGTCTGAGCATGGCCTGAATTCACCCCGTCTACAAAGTGATGAAGTTGTTATGAGCGCACTGGTGGCGCTGTGACACGCTGTGGCAGGACATCTTGCACACGGCGTCGATTCGCACCGCAGCATGGGTCGAAGGGGCCCAAGTGACCCCATCTTCGACGTCCGATGCGCACGCCCCCCCAAAGGCACGGTTCTGAAGCCAGGGGGGGCACAGGGAGCAGCACAGGTCGCGGCCTGTAGACTATAGGGCTTGGCAAGGGCTCACTAGTGAACCTGCTGGCGCCCAAAACGGCAAACAAGATCAAACAAGTACTTCTGATCCAACACATTAGCAAGGGTGGCTTTTCAGAATCGAAAGTCAACTGCAAGAAGGTCTCGCTGCCCGAGCGTATATAAGCTTCCTTGCTAGTGTGTGCTTTCTGTACCAAGAACATGACTGGCTGGCAAGCCTTGCGGGCAAACGACTATTGTCAGGTGGGCAACATGCAAGCCCTGGCGCCAGTACAAACATGTCTGCACTCATGGTTCTTGTGATCATGACTACAAAAAGAACCTGGAAATATATTTAGTCACACCACACCTGTATGCGTGAATAGTTGCCCGTGGCCGAAATTGTGACAGACTCTCTCCCAAAACAGAAAGCAACAGCATCTGCGATTGTCCTAGCATTCTTGCATTGTCCACATCGGGCTCGGATCTGCGTCCATCACGGCGGGTGTCTTGGTCTCGCAGGGCCCGGTTCACCCGGGCGAATGGGTTCAGACACTCCGTTGCGGATGACTCTCGAGTTCTGAACCGTCGGACGGCCTCTGAGAAGGCCGAAGGCGAAGAACGTACGGTTGTTACCAACCGCCCGGTGAGACCCGTGCTCGGCTTTTGGAAGGCACACAAGTCCTGGCCGCCGTAGGTCACCTCAGGAGAAAGAATCCCAAGACGCATCGCCCTGGGGCTGCCGGTGGAGCTTCGCTCCGAATCGGCTCCAAAGAGTGAGTGCGACTTCATCGGCGAAGTCCTGTATTCGACTGCGCTGTCCGGTTCGAGCTGGTCACTTCTGCCTTCTGAGGGGAGGCTGACGAAAAAAGGGGTGTGTGTTGGCCAGTCTGATCAGGACCGGAGGCTGGTCGTCTTTTGTTCTGATCTGGGGAGCCTGAAACAAAACAAGGGTCACAAACCTTTGCTCAGCGCGAGTCCATGCAGCACCTGTCGGTCAACCGACTTTTTGGGCCTGCTGTCAAAGGGAAATCCTATCGAACGGAATGGCTTGACCACACGGCAAACCCATTGGACTGGAGACGGCACCGCCATGCCGAGGAAACGGTTCCCCTATGCCCGGCGGGTACCGCTGTCCGTCCGTCCGAACGTGCAGTCGACATCTCGACTGAAGCGAAGAGACATCCACTGCAGGACATCACTCAAAGACAGAAGACCAGTTTTCCGGACATCTGCTTGAAGGAGCCGCCCTCCAACACCACCTGCGAACTGCGAACGTGGGACTCCATACGTACGCGAGGACGTGGGTCCGGAACCGGTTGTCCCCCCCGCTTCGGACGACTGGGCCCTGTATCCGGGGTCCCGGTGGAGCCTCGAGTGTCGAAGCGCTGGGCACGACGACCTCCCCACACCGCCTCATCGGACACCTTTGCCACAAGCTTCTGGTTCTGAGAACTTGAAGCCTGGCTCAGCATGGAAGGGAGGGCCACCAGGGCCCAGGCTTTTGCCACCATCCTTTGGGGTTAAGTGGCCCCCCATGGCAGTCCATTCTCCCAAGACTTGCGCATGCAAGTCTTAACACTGGATCTTACCTTGCTTCGGGACCAAAATGCGAAGCAGTCCTTCCGCATCGGCACACCATGAAGCTGTTCTTTGTTGTGGCACTCTAATAGGTTGGAGGCCATCGTTATTAGGTTGGAGGAGGTCGGAGGCCATCCCTATAAGGTTGGAGGCCATCCCGAGTAGGTTGAAGGCCATCCCTATTAGGTTGGAAGCCATCGCTATGGTTGGAGGCCATTGCTACTAGGTTGGAGGTCATCCCTATCAGGT